CCCTCCCACGTACCCACCCCAATTCGGACCTTTTTAAGATCAAGGAAATAGTAAATCCCAAGTTTCCTCTATCCTGCCGACTAATAAATGACCATAGATCCAACCATCCTCACGGGGACCTGACCCCGTCACAAATTAAGTGCATCTAATGCAATCCAATGGCTATGAGACAAAAAACAGTTCATGCTATTGATCAAAACAGTTACACCATAACATACTTGAGAAAATCAATCCATTTCTACAAAACATTGAGAATTAGAATGCTGAACCAAGACATGGCTCGATCAAATTAGTTATGGTCTCTATTACTAACTATTTGAAGTAATTCATGTCGAATACTTATCAATTAATATATTTGTCAGCATTTTTTTTTTAAAAACAAAACTTTTTAAAATCCGCAGTTCAACAATGCTAGTGATTTACTAGTCGAATCAATAACCTAATATTATATTTGTATCAACGCTTGAGATGAGACGCCGATTCTATAAGTGATAACTACATTTGATTGGAAGCATGAAATTGGCATGAAAAATAAATAAATTATAGATAATTCAATTGCCTAGAACATATTTGCATGAAATATGTCAATTAAATGTGTTTTATTGATTTAATTTTCAATCTAAAAAATATTATATTTATCCATTTTTTATTAGTGGGTAGATGAAAAATAGTAGATAGATGAGAGTGAGAGTGAATTCCCTAGAAAATAAAATCCTACCCTCCCTAGAAAAAATAATATCTTTGGTTTTGAAGAAAATATGGTCACGTAATCAAAAGTAGAAAAATATTTTTTTATGAAAAAATGAAAGTAAATGGCACAAAAATTAAAATTTAGATAAAAAAAATATATTTTTCATGAAAAATATTGGCAATCAAACAAATTACTTTCCTCTTTATTTTCATTAGTTAGATGGAAAGTGGAAACAAAATTTAAGTATATACCCCTAAACTCTTAGGCCATTCCAAATGAACCCTGACCGAGGCCATATCTATAAATAACCCAAATAAGGCGCGCTCAAATTCACTACTAGCACTACGCTCTGGCTTTGAAGTCTTGCGAGATGACGTCATCACCACCTCTGCCCGATGCTCAACTCGCTCCTGACTCGGACACTGAGTCCAAGCTACCTGCTCTCATCTACGGTATATACTTATGTATTTTGCCTGTGTGTAGACTGTACAATGTGTGTAGTTTTAAATTTAAATAGCACACATCTTTTGCTCGATTGTAATATTTTCCGCAGATACGTAGAGATCGACGCTATTTGGATATATATAAAGCAAGGAACTAAAGAATTCTGACCTTCGAATTTCGTTTGTGGCAAAAATATAATTACCGTTCTCCGTCAAAATTCACGTTGTATTTAGTGTTGCGTGGTTAGTTTGATATTTAGGCAGGATCGTCTAATTTATAAAATGATTGGAGTCAATATTTCTCCGTAGGAAATTCAAGTTTAAAATAGAATTGGAGGAACTCAAACAAATATGAGTGTGATTTGTTGGAGTTCGGATGCTAACATAAAAAATTAATGTGAACAAACACAGATTTGAAGTGGTTGAGGGCCTTCATCTGTATTAGCAAATGTTTTGAAATTGCAGAATATAAATTATGAGACCATAATTGGCAGGTGTATTTCTCTGCTCTGATTGTAAAGACAGCAGTTGATTCTCCTTTTCTTCCATAAATAATTTCTAGAGGATAAGCTTAATAGTTAACGTTATGGATTTTTGCATGCATACCTATATCATTTTCCTTCACAATGGAGCTGTTACATCAGACTCAATGATTTCTTAAAGCAGTTGAAAATATAACATCACTAAGCTGCCATTCTGACTTCGTTGATCTTTTCATCCACGAGTATGATAGCCTCTGGAGGAGGACATTGAATGCTTTGTCATAGTAGTGTTTTATTTACTATTTTTAGGCTTCAAAACCCAGATGTAGGTCAAGTTGACTGCTTAAGCCACTGGTTAATCTTTTAGAATCATTCTATAAACAAGCAAAAATTTAATCGGATGAGCTACCATGAACGAGGTTACATGTTTCAGATAAATTCTGTGAAAAAAAAATATATATATATAATTTAGACGAGATAATCACTGCACAATAATACACTTCTTAGCATTATATTCTGGTGGTGTTATAGATGTCACTGACTTTCTAATGCTGAAAGAAAGAAATCTCAGTCTGTTTCTGGATATCCTAATTATGTAGCTTCTTAAGGCCGTTGATGAAATGTACTTAGTAATTAGATCGACATTTGATTTTAATTGCTCACAGTTTCTTCTTCGTTATATTCTCTATGTATCTACTGAGAAGAATTGTTGGTCATATGATGAACACAGATCTCTCCCAGCAGGTGCAAGTTGCAATGGAGAACATGCTTAAAATGACAAAGTGAGTCAAACAAGCAGTTTTAACCAAAATTATATATGTTCGCTTTCATCTGTTGAAAAATCTTAACTAAAAAACGTCAGATTAGCAAGTTTTAAACAAATTTATATATGTTCATTCTCATCTGTTGAACAATTTTAACTAATAAATGTCAGATTCACAAAATTTAGTGCCTCTTCTCAAATGAAAGCATAGAAATTGGTTTTTTCACTACCTCTACTTCAATCCTCTTGATGCTCTCACTCTTCAGAATATTTCTAGTTTTCATAGACTAAAAATGTCCTATCATATAAGTTTTAGCCCACATTTCACCTATTGTTGTCATTTCCAAGCTGCTGGTTTTCAACTTTTAGCCCTTGAATTTTTGCCCTCTTTTTTCATCACATTGCATGGCTGTCAGTAAAATTCTAAATTCTCTTCTATTGTTGTCTTCTTTGGTATTGGTAAAATTATTGGGAGAGTTGTCGAATATTTCGTATAGAACAACAAAAAATTTACAATTGTCACTTCAGAATTTATCTCAACTTATACAAACTTTACAGGGAAATCGATCAGAACTCTGCTGAAATACTAGAAGATATAGAAAAGTCCAAAGACTCTGCTCTCCAGAGAAAGAAAAACTTAGAAGAAGAGAAGGAGCATTTTCAGAAAGCTGCTTTTGCTGTTCTAAACATGCTTAACAGAGATCTCAACTGAAGCTCTAATGTTGGCCATTTGTCTTCAATCTTGACTTGTAAATTTCAAGCTTGTGTATTTTGTTTATGTGTACAAGTATCTGGTTCATCATCCTGTTCTTTTCTTGCTCTATACTCATTGAAAAATATTAATTTCATGTAGTAGCATATTCTCAAGGTGGCTGTTCTCAAAATATGTATAAGTGATCGTTATCTCTTAAAACACTTAAATCTTCCACTAGGGAGCCATCGGCAATAAGAACTGTGGTTCCTCTTTTCCCCAACTTCCTTTCTGCATTCACCAAAAATATCTTAGCCGAAGGTAAAAATCATTGAGGTCTTCTTTTCTCCTACCTTTCTACTCGTTCAGTATCAGGTTAAAAATGTCTCTTTGTGTGTGTGAGTGAGTGAGAGAGAGAGATTTGGATTAGAAAGGAACAATGCAACTACGATGATTTCTAGATTTTCGTGGACAGTGTCGCTACAAAAGTTTAAGTTTATTTCCAGGTCCCTTTGCCCATGAGTAGTCTATTTTCTTAGAATACTATGTTACGATGGTGCTCACCTGCTAATGTCAGAAGATCTTCCATTGAATCAGGCAGATGTGCTAGTTTTCCCCCATTTTCTTCTTCTTCTTGTTTGTCGTCTGGATGATGCCCGTGGAGTACGACCCTTGCAGGAATTGTACTTGATGATGCATAAAATGTAGGGATGCCTGCAAAATAGATTGAAGAAGAATTTATGTTGTAGTTGGGTGATGTATCACGACAGATCACTTCTGCAAATTATCTCATAATTGACATGATTCTGCATTATTCACTTTTGTTTTTCCCTTGCCCTAAATTGCATGCTTATGAAATTACAGATTCAGACATAGAGTGCGATTCACTTATTTGTCAATTAAAACATTTGGTTTGGCATTTGATTGAACTAGCCGAGGAAGAGTAGTAGTCAACTGGAAGTATCTAGGTTGGCATTCCTCATACACCCCATTTAAGGTAGTTAAGGGAGTAGAAGGTAGATGGAAAATACAATTCTCCCTTCATTAAAAAGTTGCAGGCAGTCCTATTAAACTCTTTTTATCTATTTAATGATGAACCAGTCACTTGACCAGTGATTTAGCTTCTTTAAGTCATTTGCAGGACAACTGAAAGTTCCCATTTTCTACAGAATATAGTAACACTACATTTTTATTACATCTTCCAAGTAATTTGTATACTTCATTAGCTGCACACTTTTCAAAATGCACTCCGTACTTTATGCACACAAATAAAGCAACTGTTTCAAATGAATTGAGAGCTTACTGTTTGATTCTTGGTTCAGTCCCCCATAATTTTGTGGTTCATGTATTGTTTGTATGGCCTGAAATGAACAAATGGTTCATTTGTATCATTAGAAAAGTATTTCATTGCATTTAGCATCAAGCATTAATAACTACTTTAATGGAAAGTCAGTTGTTTGGACTTCTCATTAGATTGTGCAAAACAAAAAAGAAAAGAAAGATAAAAACCTCAAAGTTTGAGTCAGCCAGATATTCTTCTACAAATGGTATCTCCTCTAGCTCCTCCTTCTTTAGGCCTCTCAAATGCTGAGAATTGGAAATGTTAGTAGGTTTATACTTCTGTTCAATGCTTGGTAATTTGAGGATGCTGTTCTAGAAGAGAGAAGATGATTCCAAGAAATGACCAACAATGCCATGACAGTATTATTCACTAGAGTGTAAGATGCATAATTCTTACTAATAGGGAAAATAATGATCTTTAATGCATTAATGAATTCCTAAGTTTTAGAATTCTAACCTGAAGAAAATTAGAGATAAAAATCTTCCCATCTTCACTAAGCGGCTGCACCAGTTGCTTGAAATGATTATGACTAATCCGAATGACCTGAGAAAGCCTCTTTGTTCTAACTGTGAAAGGTTGAGGAATATTGAAGATCACCCCAATTTCTCCAAGCATACTTGGGGACATTAATTTTGAGAGGAACTGCAAAAGATCCAAGTTAACTTTGTCTATCAGGAAAGAAGTTACTTTTAGATTTAGCATTTACGGATGATAGATTTTTTACTTAGTTCTGCTAAGTTAACTTTATCATATTTTTGATTAACCAAAAGCCGAGAAAAATATTACTGTACAACCTGGTGAAATGAATTTTTTGTTTACATACTCTTAAAAACTCTTCTATTTCAAAGGTCAAAACGAATTCTGTTCCCTTTTTACTAGCTACAATCTTCGACATGTTTCTTTCTTATACATTATCACAAGATGGAAACATATATGTGGTATTCTACATTGTTGACTTTTTTATCTCTCTTTATTTTCTCAACAGATTTTGGACATCTTGATTAATGCCAGACAAGGCATGGTTTTCATGAAGAAATTTCATCAATTGTCGCATGATATCCCAGTAAGATGATCAGGCCCAATATATACACTTGCTTTATTCATTCTATTGTCTTTTAAATGAGTTTGATCTTACATGGTCTTGAATTCTAATTGCTACTTATTGATGTCTTCCCTTGTAAGCTAAATAAACAAATGACCTACTGAAGCATATTGTTTTCCCAAATAAACAATTCAGAAACTTACCTGTTCAGTTCCATTCTTGTGTGTTATTACGTCCTGCAGAATTAGATTTGTCAGCTATGCATACAGGATTAATGATGATTGAAAATGTGATGAGAATATTCTATACCACTGCTCCAGATACTATAATGTAGAAATCTGTTGGTATTTCATTTTGTATGATAATATCCATTTTGGGGGGATAATATTCTGCTCTCATCTCTGGAACCTGTGGAGCAAATATGTAGACATTTGTGATGGAGAAGAGTTCCACTTCAAAACATCAAAATCTCTATAATAATGCCACCATGTTCTCTCAACTTCTTACTCTTAGGTGTCAATTATAATAGAAAATATATATTAAGATAGGCCATAGATCAGTCCATAATATGTGATAATTAGATATAATTATGATGATAGGAAAAGAACATTACCAACTGAACAATAAAGTCTTCAGATACTCCTTTGAAAAGGTAGGAATTTTCTACTGTATTGCGGAAGAGATGATGAGCGATGCCAGATCTGATTGCCTTTGGCAAGTCTTGCAGCACTTCTTCTTGCTGAAGTTCTGCTGTTTTGAACTTAAGCGTCACATGTGCTAGCATTTGTTCCTTTAAGCCTTCTGGAAGTCGATTCTTGCTTGCATATCGCAGGATCTCATGGATGGAATCCCTCTTCAAAACCACCATTAAACAGAATTATATTGCTGTGAACGTTTCTGAGATATATGTACTAACGTAAATCTGAACAAGCACTATTTTTAGGAGGATTGAAACAATGAAAAGTGATTTGGTATGTCTTTGATCTTTGAATTATAGAAAAATGTAAAATAAAAGAAGATTTAAATTTATTGCATCAGAATA